GTCATGACCCAACTGTGCAGCGCCTTGGGACGTCCTCCTGACGTGAAAGGCGCTTTATAAATGGAATCTTGTTGTTGTTGTTGTTGTTATGCGGCACCTTATCGAATGCCTTCTGGAAGTCCAAATAGACCACATCCACTGATTCACCCTTATCTCGTTTACTGGAAATGTCCTCAAAAATCTCTATGAGATTTGTCAAACATGACTTCCCTTTTGTAAAGCCATGTTGACTTGGCCTAATTATGTTGTGCTCCTCTAAATACCGCACTACCACATCCTTAATCAACGATTCTAAAATTTTTCCTATCACTGATGTGAGACTAACTGGCCTATAGTTCCCCATCTTTTCCTTTCCACCTTTTTTAAATAGTGGTGTGACATTTGCGATCTTCCAATCCCTCCGGACCAGGAGATTTGTCAATTTTTAGTGCTAACAGTTTCCCTCGCACCAATTCTCTACTAATGAAAATTTCCCTAAGTTGCTCCCTGTCCTTATCCCCTTAGTGCATCTCTATTGTTGGCAGACTTGTTGTGTCTTCTAGGGTGACGACAGATGCAAAGTACCCATTTAGGGACTCTGCCATGTCCTTGTCCCCCATTACAACTTCTCCTGTCTCTGACTGTAGTGGACCGACATTTACCCTCACTAGCCTATTCCTCTTAATATATTTGTAAAAATGTTTACAATCAGACTTAATGTTCCTAGCTAGCTTACCCTCATACTCCTTTTTCTCGCTTAATGAGTTTTTTAGTTATATTTTGCTGGTTTCTAAAACTCTCCCAATGTTTAGATTTGCCGCTTTTCTTGGCAGTTTTATAAGCCTTTTCTTTTAATTTGATGTCAACACCTGAATGATTCAATGTTTTCATTCCAGTAACTAAACCATTCAGCTACAATTAATTAAATGTGATTAATTACTACCCTGAAATAATCCTTTCAAAATATCTATCTTTTGTGATGTTTTTGCTTGGTCAGCAAAATTTGCATGTACAAGGGCAACAGTATTTGGCTAACGTAAAGATTTATTTAAGTCCTACAATGCTACAGTCCCACAGTCCTACAATACAACACTCAATCGTCCAACTAACCTTCCAGGCATTAGTTTTTCCTGCGTTCTGTTATTCTGATGTTCTGGGGCTGGAAAGAGAAAATAAAATAGAATGCACATAACCCACCTCCAGCACATCTGGGTAATTTAAACCGTCCTTTGGATGCGACATGAAACCAAGGTCCTGTCTGCATTTTCTGGTGCACGTTAAAAATAGATCCCATCGCTGTATTCGAAAAGAGAAGGGAGTTTATCCGAGTGTCCTGGCCAACAACCGCCCAAATTAAATTGGTCGCTCGCTCCATGGCTGTTTGTGGGATATTGCAGTGTGCAAACTGGCTGCTGCGTTTCACCCACAAAATACACAGTCGGTCTACTTTACAGTATATCTTATGAAGCGTTTTGCGACCTCTTGATCACTTAAACCTATCACCTCCATCCTTGCCTTGGTCGACTGGCTCCCCATCCACCAGTGGACAGAGTTCAAAATCCTCGGCCTCGCTTTCAAAGCCCTCCACGGCCTTGCTCCTCCCTATCTCTTTGACCTGTAAATTCCATACCAACCTGTCCACTCCTTCAGTTCAGCGGGCTCTGGCCTACTCCATGTTCCCCGAGTTGCCCTCCCACCATCAGCTTTTCTTCCCTAACCTTTTGGTACTCCATCTCACAGTCCCTTCTTTTCTCCTTCTGTCTTGCTTCCTTCAAGTCCTGTCTCAGGATCTTCTTCTTTGATGATAAGATAAGGTGCTACATTAAATGCAAGGATTATTACTATTATATTATTTAGTATCAAAAAAATTGTTTTGGTAATCCTCCTACCCCTTCACGGCCCTCCACCTCTCCTGATCCCAACCCACAGTTCGGGTGCAACTTCTTGACTGTCCAGCGCCTTGAGACATCCGCCCGACATAAAAGGCGGAATACAAATGTAATTTGTTGTGTCGCTGTTGTGATAAGGCACTGTAGCAAATGCAAGGATTATTATCATGATGATTATTATTATTAAACCACATTTTAGATCCCAGAATCGGCCAGTTCTTACTTCTTGTTGGGAAGATATTTTAGATATTCTCTGTTCTGTAAAGTTGGGAAATCCAGAATATATGGATTTCTGTGTTCAGTCTCCTGCTCTCAGAATATACAGATTCATGCAAGTCATTGGCATTGAGAAATGATTCAAGTCATAATTTTAACAATCAAATTACTTTTCAAACTCTGGATGACAGCTGGAAAGATAAAATAAAATGGATAATATAAACATAAAGCTTCTGCCTACTGTGCAAGAGGATTTATCATAATCTGTAACAGGCAATGAGGATTTTCATTAAATTGTGTGTCTCTGACTGAGCTGTTTCTTTGCATGAGTGAAAGACAAACAATGAGCCATTTACATAAATTGCATAACTTGGCTTATTTAAATACTGGTTTTAAACAATTCGACAAAATATTCTAATCTTTATTATATCTGCATCTAGAAAACCTTTTATCAATTACTGTATCAAGGCAGTTTCTCCCTGTGTCCTGGCTTCCAAGTTAAATTGGTCATTCACTTCATGGCTGTTTGTGGGACATTGCAGTGAGAAATTGTGGTAAATTGACTGTCACGTTCACCTATAAATACCCACTTTGCCATAAATCCTGTGAAGCACTTTGAGACATTTTAATCGGGAGATAAGATGCTACATCAAATGCAAGGATTATTACTATTTTATTATTTAGTATCAAAATACTGTTTTCAAAAACTGTCAACAGATCTCAGAATATTGAGTATTTCCAGAATTTCCTTGTTACCAGGTGTGTATTTTCACCCAGAAAAACTAACATCTGCTTCAAACAAAATGTGTCATTTGCTTTAGTGGCTAATATGGATGTTTTAATTTGTGTAAAGCACTTTGTGTTGTCCTCGCAACATGAAAGGCAGTATATTGTTTTTTATTTATTTTTCATATGCACCAAATACCATTTTTCTTGACAATTTTTAATGGCTAGTTTAGCGACAGTGCACATAATTCATTAGAATAAATGTTGGAACAATATATAGAGTTGGTAGGTTGATGCACAATGTCTGATAATAGCCTCAATACAGTAATTCAAATGTGTAAAATAGCAATTCCATGGTGTGAGCACCATCTACTGGTACTAAAAAAAATACAATGAGGCTCGTAAAAATCAAAAGATGAATGGAACTCATCTGAAACTGTTCAAAATGGCATTATTTACTACTGAAGCCATCTCTTACACTGTACTCAGCATTACCTGAATATATAGACTATAATATTCAGCAATGTATTCAGTAATCTCCACACCATTCACAATAGTAAATTGGGTTTATGCATATGTCATCCACCCGGCTGACCAAAACAAAAATTGCATTGTAAATTGTACTGTGATAATCTCCAGAACTGTACACAATCATCAGCATCTATGTATAAAATAATCCTCAGCACCATATTCAATAACCTTTAACAATGTACTCACTCATATCCATCTATGTATATAATAATCTCTAGCAACGTACTCACTAAAATCAGCCTTCTATTCAATAGTCTCCAGGAATATACACCATCATATCCAGCTCTGTATTCAATAATATCCAGCCTGCATTTAATAAGCTTCATCTGTGTACTCTATCTAATCTCCAGCTGTATACAAATTAACTGCCAGCACTGTGTTCAGTAATATTCAGAACTGTATTCAATAATCTCCAGCAACTTTTATCCAACTTTTATCCCTGAGTTAAAGGAATTGGTTTGGGTGATTAATAACAACAATAATAATAATCCTTGCATTTGATATAGCGCTTTTCACGTCTTCTAGATGTCTCAAAGAGCTTCACAGAATATACTGTAAAGTGAATTGACTGTATATTTGTGGGCGAACGCGGCAGCCAATTGCGCACAGCAGTGTCCCACAAACAGTTGTAGATTGAAAATGACCAATTTATTATTGTTTTGGAGGGATTATTATTAGGTGTGTGGAGTAAGGAAACTTGTCCAAGGTTTTGCCCTGCCTGGAATTGAACTCAGGTCTCTCGTTGTGAGTCTACTCACGGACATTTTTCAGAGTTCACTAGTCTCGGGTGAATCAGAGGTTTGCAAAATGGCAAATGTGATTCCCATCTTTAAAATGGGGGCTCGGGATGAGCCATGAAACTATTTCATGTCAAGTGTAGGATAAGTGTTTGAAACGATGATGAGGAGCAGTTCAAGGGATCATCTTGAGGATTACAGGTTAATCTGAGACAGCCAGTGTGGCTTTATGAGACCGTTTAGCAGATTTATTGAATTTCCTTGAGGAAGTCTCAGATCGGGTGGATACGGGTGAAACTGATGTTATTTACTTGGATTTCAAAAAGGATTTGACACTGTATCGCATAATGGGCTACTGCAAGCTCATGGGAGAGGTGCCGATGTATTAAACTAGGTAGAAATAAGCTCATTGATAGAAATCAGTGATCAGTTGCGATGTTAGGGTACAGAGCATAAATTGCGTACAGTTTTGATCTGCCTAATTCAAAAAGGTATTGAGTTGTTGGAGGAAGCAAAGCAGAGGGCTCCCAGACTGCTTCCTGGACTTCAGAGTTGACAGAGCTAAGAGGATAGGTTAGTTAACCTGGGGCTTTTCTGTTCTGTAAAGATATGAACAAAATGGACATGACAGAGCTATTTAAAATTGGAAAATTTGAATTCAGTTAGGGTTTCCTGCCATATATAAAATTCATGGACAGGGAGTTGTATCCTTAATATAAGAACAACAAAATATGTGCAGGAGACTTTTTGAGTAAACTGTGACTTAAAGATGAGGACTAAGCTGCTAGTACATGTCTTCTTTTTAAAAGGGTGTACCAAAGAGTTTCTTTGTAAAAATAATGTAGTATAAACTGTAAATCTGCTCATGTAAACTTGCCACTGCTTGTTTGTTATTGATTTTGAGACATTCTGTTTTATTTAGGTGTTCTCCTGATCCTGGCACTGACAGAAGAACTCATATCCGCTGTTCAAGAACTGTCTTTTAGTTCAAAGTCCCAAGACGACCAAACAGACTTAAGCACTAAAACCATGGTGATACCCAGACCTGGTGCCAATCCCACCAATGTATCAAACAGCAGTGACTGGCACAGAGCCTGGGCTACAGATGGGAATATTTTAAAGTACCTTCAGGAATCCCGCAGCACCAAGCCGATTGATTTCAGCTTCATTCAACCCACACCTACTGCTATCTACTCAACCAAGCCACTCTCACCCCAGGACACTGCTGGCAATTATCACAGAATAAATGCCACCCTTTCTTTGCATAATCAAAGTACTTTGCATTCAGAGCCAGTTCCTTCAAAGGAGGTAGTGTCTCTGCTACACATAGACAAGACAGTGGAGCCTACACAAATTTACCCAAATGTAGTACTGCACCCTTCATTTTCTACGGGATTGCCCTACAGAATTTCAGATTCTCAGATGATCCCCTCAGTTGTTGATCGCTATTCTGCACAAGCGTCTAAAATCTCAGATATCCATCACGTTACTACACTGGCATCCTCAACTGATCAAATCATGCAGAATTCCACTGACGCCCTTCGTGACTTTACCAAGCTGTGGCAAGCCGAGAGATCCAGCTTTCCAGAAGCCAGGAATTCACAGACTCCACTTCTTCCTGACTCTCCGCCACATCTGATAACTAGTTCTGTCAACCAGGTCACATCTAGCATTGATAGTTCAGTGTTGAAATCACAGTCAGGTGTAGACTTGGATTCTTTGATCTTAACTTCATCTGTATACTCCAGTCAGGATTTATGGGAGGTTAGTGATAAAAATCTATCAATTGCATTTGAACCTTATATTTCAACTTCTGTGGCAATATTCAGCACCATGGAAAGCGATGCCTTAGCCAATGGCATTCTGCCAACTGTGTCTACACCGGGGACCTCCTCAACCCTGTCAGAATCTGGCACAACAGCAACAGGAAGCTTCCTAAACAGATTAATTCCTGCTGGGACTGGGGGCCCTGGACCTCCAGGCAACATTTCCCATGTAACTGAAGTAGACCAACCTCAGCAGAAAGCAACTATCTGCCTCAGTAAGGTTGACATCGCCTGGATTATTCTGGCTGTCAGTGTGCCTGTTTCGTCATGCTGTAAGTATGCAGTTTAATTTCATTCTTATATGAGGTGTAGATAAATGGGGAGTTCGTCCTTTCTGGACGTGCTCTCTATATATCTGCTTGTTCTTTTACATCTGCCTGTAAAAGATCCAATGGCACTATTTGAAAAGAGAAGGGAATTTCTCCTAGAGTCCTGGCCAACAATCTCCCAAATAATTTTGGTCATTCACTCCATGGCTGTTGGTGGGACACTGCTGTGTGGAAGTGGGCTGCCGCGTTCACCCATAAAATACACGCAGTCAGACCATTTTACAGTATATTCTGTGAAGCGCTTTGAGACATTGTTTTGACATGATAAGATGCTATTTCAAATGCAAGGATTATTATTATGTTATAGATGTATGTTGTATTTATCCACATTAATGATTAGCAATTCAATACAGAATTCCATGTCCACATAACTAAGGCAATAAACAAGAATACATAATGATTAACTTTAGAGAAAAGTAACAGAGCCCCTAACTTTGCCAATAATTTGCCCACAACATTACAATATATCCCGTGAAACGCTTTGAGACGTCTCAACGTGATAAGGTGCTCTATTAAACGCAAGGATGTTTTATTAATAGTGTTTAATAATTGTGGAAATTCTAAAAGATATCAAGTGCGATGCCATATCCAAATAGTGACAGATTTCAGCACAATCAGAAGGAAACCTTGAAGATTGTGTAGAGAAAACACTGTGCAACTCTGGTGGGAAAAGGTTTACTGTTAATAATACTCTGATAAAATCAGACAATGTGTTCCTTCCAAATTCTGCACTGCAGGAAAATGTGGTTGTATTTCCATTAGGCGCTTATAGTAGAAGTGATTGTTAATGGTATTTTGGAGTTGGGTGCTTGGATACCTTTTATATTTCACAAGGTTTGACTAGACTAGAAAAATCATTATCAGTTGCCTCAGCTCCTGCTTCCAGTAGATAAGCATTGGTCACTAACCCTGAATGACGCAAATTACTCTCAGGATTACCATGTTCCTCCTCTGATTGGAGACATATTCTAAGAGGTTTAAGGACAGACACTAGAAATAGAAACTGGGAAATAGGCTCTGGTGCTCTTTCGAGGTTGGGGTTGATGTATAAAGGTGTGTTATTTAAGATAATGCCTACATCTAGATTGTATGATGAGCACACCGTACTCTATTTCTTAGCAATATAATTACTTACTCGCAACTTTAACTGAGCCAGGAGAGCAGTATTACAACTAAGCTCTGAAACATCAGTATTCTCATTACTTGCCTGAACTGAAAAACCTACATTATTCAGCAGCAGGCTTCCTTGAGACTGCCTGGGCCCCTTCAGGGGAAAAGTTCTCAACCTGTGAATCCAGTGTAAATATTCAAAGGGTGAAAGTTTCTCAGAAACTGGAGAAGGTGAAAGCATATGCGAATTGATGCATAAAGAATACTTATCAGCAATTACACCTTGAGAAGACGTGATAAAGCGCTATGTCAAATGCAAGAATTATTATTGCTATTCATCAAGCAAACAAAATAATACTAATAATCCTTGTATTTGATATAGCGCTTTTCAAGCTTTCTAGTCTCAAAGCGCTTCTCAGAATATACTGTAAAGTGAATTGACTGTATATTTTGTGGGCGAAAAGCGGCAACCGATTGTGCACATCAGTGTCCCACAAACAGCCATGGATTGAAGTGACCAATTTATTATATTTTTTTTCTTGAGGGCTTATTATCAGGCATATGGAGTAAGGAAATTTGCCCAAGGTTTCACCCTGCCAGGAATGAAACCCAGGTCTCTCACTTCCAAAACGAGTGCTCTAACCACTGAGCTACAGGACTCCTGTGTAAAGTGAACACCTACCAAATATGTTTTATGATTTCACAAATTTAAGTTCAACCCTGACTGCACATCTGTTCAATAACATGCAATCTGTGTCGTGGTTGCCTTTTGGTTAAGATTTATCCTTGTCTTGGAAATTCTACCTGGATCTAGATTCTCTCCATTTTGTTAGCATTTCAGATTGTCCAGAATTTGATAAATTCTTAAATACAGTTTTAATTTTAAAGACTTTTTAAGAACCACAGAAAATCATCTTCAAAATTAAGACTGAAAATACAATCATTTTTCCAAATTCTGGATATTTTGAAATGCTATAAATAGAGTAAATCTGAACCCAGGTAGAATTTGACACCCCCAGACAAATTAGAGAGATATGAAAACAGGCAAACAACATAAATGGAAATAGAAAAACAATTTTATGAATACATAAAATGCAAAATAATTGATGAAGAAAGGGGAAGGGGCAAATAAAAAGAGAGGAATCTTGTCAAGGAGGGTGAGGAAATGGCAGAGATGGTAAATGGCATTTAGCCTTGTATTTTACAGAATTGTGTGATAGTGGGTATGTAATTATGAGAAAATAATATTATTAATTTGTTAATTTATTAATCACTCAATCCACAACTGTTTGTGGGACACTGCTGTGCGCAATTGGTTGCTGCATTTCGGCCACAAAATATATAGTCAATACTGTGAATTGCTTTGAGACGTCTCGAAGATGTGATAAGCCGCTATATCAAATGCAAGGATTATTGTTATTATTTATTATTCATAGTATTCCTTGCCTTTGATTATAGTGCTTTTCATTTCTGGAGAATGTCTCAGAGCCCTTTATAGAGGTCATCGATTGCTTGGGACTTGTGCTCACCCACTGAGCCATCGTTACCTCTTTTATTTAAAAAAACTTTACTTTTTTTTAGATATTTGCATGCATAATAATAGTGATCCGTGTTCTTTTATTTTCCTAATTTTTTGACAAAAGTCTATCACAAGTAAATTATAGGTCTTTTGTCTGCTTTGATCCTGTTTGCACTCTGTGCACCAGAGGCCACTCTTTCATGTAAACATTCCCTATAGCAATTGACACCAGTGTATTTATTGAACACTACGGTTTATCTCCAGTCTGCAGATATTGATCTCTAAACTGGCTTAATGCTACTTACAACCACTGTTGGATTTTCTTAGGATAATGGGTACAATTTGCCTCTTTCCTTTCTAGATTCATACTTTCCCATATTTCAGTTATTATTTTATCTGCCTTTATTATGTCTCCTTGATTTCTGTGTGCAAATTGGCGATAGTGTAAGTCTACAATACAATATAATTTATACAATTTACATTTATGTAGCACCGTTCATGTTGCAGGGACTTCTCAAAGCGCTTAAAACTACTGGCTGGGCAGCCGAGCTGGGATGGGAGCCGAAGGAGGAGGGGTGGGAAAGATGTGGCCAAAGAGGTATATTTTGAGATGGACCTTGGATGAGATGAGGAGGGGAGCAAGTCAGAGGGACTCTGGGATGGAGTTCCAGGGGCAGATTGGCTGAAGGCCTTCCCACACTGGTGAGGAGGATAATGTGGGCCTGGTTGATCCAAGGGAGTGGCTAGACTGGTAAAATTTGAGGAAGTCACAGAGGTAGGGTTTGGCGAGACCATGGAGGAATTTGAAGGTGAGAACAAGGATCTTGAATTCAATCCCCTGGGGAATGGAGAGTCAATGGAGCCAAATGAAAATGGAGGTGATAGGCTCGCGGAGCCTGGTGCAGGAGAGGACATGGGCTGCAGGTTCTGGATAGTTTGCAGTATGTGCAGGGAAGATCTGGGAAATCCAGCGAGGCATTAGCCTGGCCACGAGGAAAGCATGGATTAGAATCTCGGAGGCCCAGAGGAAATGTGTCGTTGGAGGCGGACAGGGTTATTTTACCCACAAAATACAGTCAACTACATTTCACAGTAAATCCTGTGAATCTCCTTGAGATTTCCTCCAGATGTGAAAGCCTCTATGTCAAATGCAACAATTATTTTTTTCCCTTCCAGCTTCTTCCTCCTTTTTTCCCCTCTTGTGCCTTCCCCCTTCTCCCCTAGTTCCTCTCCCCCTCCCTCCCTCCCATTGTGGAAGGTTCTAAGTTCTCTCCACTCAGCTCTCAATGAGTTGCTTGGGTTCAGTGAGTCATGTAAATGAACTCACAATTCTGTGTCGCACCCTCCCCCCACACTACACGTCTACACTCCTTATAAATTAACAGCCCTCCAGCAAAAACAATAAAGGCTTTATGAACAACGGAAAAGAAAATAATAGCTCTGTCAAAAGAACTCTTAAGATTCTATGATTCTATGAACTAGCAGCAGACGTATTACTGTATTTTGTTATTTGCAATTGCTGAGCATTTAGTAGATGAAACTTGAACTCATTCCATATTGGGATAATTTAGTTTTCTTATGCAGCACTGAATGGTTCAGGACTTTCCAGTCTGGGCTTGTAGACATATCCCGGAGTGCAATGAATGTTTGCAGAAATTCTCCATTTAAAACATTACTAAAACATTGGAAAGCACTCGGAAAAATCTGCCAAAATATCTTCAACAGTAACGTATCCGCGTTTCAATTAAACAACTCTTATTATCTACACAGGCCGAAAGGCCTTCTTCTGTGCTGTAAATTTCTGTGATTATATATGCTCAGCGGATAATAAAGTTCAGGGATTTTCTGTAGAAGACGAGTTCATTTAGAATAACACCTCATCCAACTCTTTCCCAGTAAAATCATTTAGCCTGGCTCTGTTGGTAATGCTCTTGTCTCTGAATTAGAAGATTGTGGGTTCAGCCTCACATCAGAACTTGAGCTCAGAATCCATGATGATGCTCCAGTGCTTTACTGGGGAGCACTACAACAGCAGAGGTGCCATTTTTAGATGAGACAAGAAACCAAGGTGCCTGTTCTTCAGGTGGACCATATTTATTTTTGACATCATGACTTTCACATCAGGAGGAAATCCCAAAGTACATCACAGGATTTATTTTAAAGCGTAGTGACTATGTTTTTGTAGAACAATGCGGCAATCAATTTGCCCAAAGTAGTTGTCCACAAACAGAGCTATGAAGTGAATGGCCAAGTTCACCCGGAGGATTCTTGATAAGCACACTGGAAGAAACTCCCTTCTCTTTTTGAATAGTACTATGGGATTTGCAACATCCACCTGAACAGGCAAACAGGACCTTGATTTAAAGTCTTATCCAAAGGATGGCTTCTCCAACAATGCAACACCCCCCAACTCTGTATTGGAGTGTCAACCTCGACTATGAGCTCAAAGTTCCTTACATGAAGCTTGAACCCATAATCTTCTGACTCAGGGCAAAAGTGCTATAACTGAGGCTGGCTGATACCCAAGATCCCTTGATACTATTTGAAAAAAGAAGGTAGTTTGTTCCAGTGCCAGCATAGTTCAATGATCCACCAGGTAAGTTGTCCATTCATCTCATGTCTGTTTTACTGGCACAAATGGTGGCTACATTTGCGAACAGAAAACAGTCACCGCACTTGACAGTCTTTATTTGTGAAAAGCTTTGAGATATTTCGGCACAGTAAGATGCTGTAAAAAGTTCTTGTAAGAGTTGAGAATGGGACAGCACTGTAGTAATACTGAGATAATAAACCAGTTGAGTGGTTTATGTGGCCAAACAACCTGTGCTGGAGTTTTACCGTATGTGCAGTGCTGTTTAAGTGACGCATCAAGGATTTGTACCCATATAAGGAGGAGGCTGATTGAGTGTGTGTGTGTGTGTGTGAGTAACATGACAATTTTCGAGAAATAGGACAGCTGTACAAGATTATCAGAACAGAACAAGAGTACGTCTTAAGCAAAGGAAAGTGTAGCAAGAATATCATTCATCATGGGTCACTTACATGATCACTGTATAGAGCAGCATTTTCTTGTTCACTGTAAGATGTTTCTTTCAGATATTGTAACTATCTCCACTGAATGTCAAGCCTTATTGTACAGTTTAGTTCTATAATTGCTCAAACTGCTACAAGGATCTACTCTGCAGGATGAACCTTAAACAAATACAGTACCAGACTAATAAAACTCATAATAATAATAATCCTTACACTTTGTATCACAGGATAAACTGTAAACTGTGTATTTTGGGGTAAACATGGCAGCCAATTTGAGCAAGCAATGAAATTGAATGTAAGCTGTGTGATGCAAAGTGTTTTCTTGTATAAAATGAACTGCTTTTTTCTCTGTTGACAGCAGTTTTGCTTACGGTGTGCTGTATGCAGAAAAAGAAGAAGACTTCAAACCCTGAAAATAATTTGAGTTATTGGAACAATACAATCACAATGGATTACTTCAACAAACACGCTGTGGATCTGCCGAGAGAAATCCAGTCTCTCGAAACATCAGAGGTTATTTTTCAAAATGATTCCTTTATTAATTTGTTGTGCCAATTATTGATGTGATTTTCTCCACCTTGATGGACGCCCTCTTCTCTTGGTCTCTCGCTGCCTGTTGCTGGGTGCGGTTCCACAGGAGCTGGTTGCTCTACAAGGGGCCCACCCAAGGGGCCATTATTCTCCTGTAAAGTGTGTCACTGCTGATCCTGACCTCTTCCCCAGGTGCTATACAGGTGCACAACGAGTGGAGGGCACAGAGTAGGACTTGGAACAGGAGCCTGGCTGTTTTTTCTCTCCCTAACCCTAGGAAAGCCAGGGTTGTTGCCTTAAAATTTAATGTCGTTGCTAATTTGGGGAAATTCTTGAATTCGCTCGTAATTTGGAAGATGTTTTCCTGAAGTTCTTAAGAAGAACTTGAGGAAGAAAAATATACCTCAACCTTGAGACTGAATTCAAGAATTTTTGAAAGTTTTGTGTGAGCTTAAATGTTAAGACAAAATGAGAAATGTTGGGACTATGACCACAAACCAAATGGTTATAACTATTCAAGCCCTATTTCCACATTCTGATGTTTATCGGTTTTGCGTTGGGGTACTGAATTCTGACATGAGAAATGAGTGGACCTTTCTCTCTCAGAGCAGAAAAGACCCTGATTGTCCATCTTACAACCTTTCTCCTGCTAGCCTTCGAGTAGGATGAACAGTGACTATCCTGCACTTGTAATCTGCAATTTTTTTTATCTGTCTGACAAGCCAGGGGAAAAATATAATTACGCAGTGACCCCATTATATGTTTTGGGTCCACAAAATTAGACACCGTGTTATAACGGGACAACAAAACAAAAATAGCCACTGGTCCCACATCCAGATCATCAGATCACCACTAATGTCACTTCTGGCTTAGGCTGTCCAGCTTAGAACATAAGAACATAAGAATTAGGATCAGGAGTAGGCCATTCGGCCCCTCGAGCCTGCCCCGCCATTCGATAAGATCATGGCTGATGTTCTGACCCAACTCTAATTACCTGCTCTATCCCCATATCCCCTAATCCCTCTATTTCTTTAAAAATCTATCAGTCTCAGCCTTGAAGATGTTCAAGGACTGAGCATCTACAGCCTTCTGGGGTAGTGAATTCCATAAATTCACTACCCTCTGAGTGAAGAAATGTTTTCTCAACTCTGTTCTAAAAGACTGACCCTTAATTTTAAGACTGTGACCCCTGGTTATAGATTCTCCTACCAGGGGAAACAGTCCCTCAGTGTCTACTTTATCCAGCCCTTTAAGAATCTTATATGTTTCAATAAGATCTCCCCTAATTCTTCTGTACTCTGGAGAATACAGCCCTAGTTTATTCAGCCTATCTTCATAGGTCAGTCCCCTCATCCCAGGAACTAACCGAGTGAATCTACGCTGCACCCCCTCTAGGGCAAGTATGTCCTTTTTTAAATAAGGAGACCAAAACTGCACACAATACTCTAGGTGCGGTCTCACCAGGGCCCTATACAGTTGCAGCAAGACTTCCCTACTCTTGTACTCTAAACCTTTTGCAATGAATGCTAACATGCTGTTCACCTTCTTAGTTGCTTGCTGCACCTGCAAACTAACTTTTTGAGACTGGTGTACAAGGATACCCAAATCCCTCTGAACACTAACACTATCTAATCTCTCCCCCTCTAGAAAATTATCTGTTTTTCTATTTTTGCTACCTAGGTGAATAACTTCACACTTCCTCAGAATGAATTCCATCTGCCACCTACTCGCCCACTCCCCTAGCCTATCGAATTCCCGTTGCAATCTTTTTGTATCATCCTCAGAGCTTACTCTCCCACCTCGTTTAGTGTCATCCGCGAATTTAGATACGTTGCATTCAATGTCCTCGTCTAGATCATTGATGTAAATTGTAAATAGCTGAGGCCCAAGCACTGATCCTTGTGGCACTCCACTAGTCACATCCTGCCAATTCGAGAATGACCCGTTTATCCCTACTCTCTGTTTTCTACCCGTTAGCCACTCTTCAATCCATGCTAATATGTTCCCATTAATCCCGTGGGCCTTAACCTTGTGCAATAGCCTTTTGTGTGGCACTTTGTCAAATGCCTTTTTAAAATCTAAATATACTACATCTACTGGTTCCCCCCTATCTAACCTGCTAGATACATCTTCAAAATACTCTAAAAGATTAGTTAAGCATGACTTCCCTTTTGTAAAGCCATGTTGACTCTGCCTAATCTTGTTATGGTCTTCCAGGAATCCCATAACGACATCCTTAATTAAGGACTCAAGAATTTTCCCTACCACTGATGTCAGACTAACTGGTCTATAGTTCCCCATCTTTTCTCTCCCACCCTTCTTAAATAGTGGTGTTACGTTTGCAATCTTCCAATCAATGGGAACCGTTCCAGAATCCAGAGAATTTTGGAAGATCAAAGACAAGCCATCCACTATCTCAGTAGCCACCTCTTTTAAAACCCTAGGATGTAGGCCATCAGGTCCAGGAGATTTATCAGTTTTAAGACCTGACAATTTACCTAAAACCATTTCTTTACTAATATTAATTCCCCAAGTTGCTCGCTAACATTGTCTTCTTGGTTCCCCTCTATTCTTGGTAGGTTTTCAGTGTCTTCTAAGGTGAAGACAGTAGCAAAGTACTTGTTTAATGACTCTGCCATGTCTTTGTCCCCTACTATAATTCCCCCCGTCTCTGCTTGTAATGGACCCACATCTACCTTTGACAGCCTCTTCCTCTTTATATATTTTTAAAAACTCTTGCAGTCTGTCTTTATGTTCTTCGCTAGTTTGCCCTCATATTCCATTTTCTCCCTCTTAATCACTTTTTTAGTTCTCCTTTGTTGATCCCTAAAGTTCTCCCAATCCTCGGGTTTACGACTCATCTTAGCTGTTTTATAGGCTTCTTCCTTTAACTTTATACTTTCCCTAACTGCTCTAGTTAGCCACGGTTGGGCCACCTTTCCTATGGCATTCTTATTCCTCAAAGGATACGTGCTCGCTGGGAATTTTGCACTCCATCTCCTTAAACTTCCACCTTCTTAAACGTCTGCCATTGCTGGTTTACTGTCAAATCCTTCAGTCTAATTTCCCAGTTTATTTTAGCTAAATCCTCTCTCATACCAGCAAAGTTGGCTCTACTTAAATTTAAAACCTTTGCTTCGGACTTAACTACTTCTCTCTCTAACTTAATGCTAAATTCCATCATATTATGATCACTTTGCCCTAGAGGAGCCTTAATTTCCAGTTTGCTGATCAGCCCTGCTTCATTGCACAAAACAAGGTCTAATATGGCCTGTTCCCTGGTTGGCTCCTCGGCATACTGATCTAGATAATTATCCCTAATACATTCTATAAACTCTTCCTCTATCATACTTTTCCCAATTTGGTTGTCCCAATCTATGTGCAGATTAAAATCACCCACAATTAATGTTTTTCCTTTACTACATGCTCTGCTAATTTCCTGATTTATACCTTGAGAGATACTGTGACTGCTGTTCGGGGGTCTATAAACTACTCCCACCAGAGTTTTCTGCCCCTTGTTGTAGTTCTACCCATACTGACTCTTACTTCCTGCTTTTCTGATTTAAAATCTTCCCTTTCTACTGTTTTTATCCCATCCTTTATTAGCAGGGCCACCCCTCCTCGTTTACCACATTGCCTATCTTTTCTATACGCCACATACACTGGAATATTTAGCTCCCACCCTGTAACCATGTCTCGGTGATGGCTACCAGATCATACCCGTTTGTTTCTATTTGTGCATTTAGCTCATCTATCTTGTTTCGAATGCTTCGCGCATTCAGATATAGCGCCCTTAATTCTGACTTCAGGCTACTAGTCCTATTCACCAGTACCCTATCCCTGGGCTTCTTTTCCCCGCTTGACACACTTTGCTCATCTCCCTGGTTAATCTGCTCTCCCACTTTTATCGGTCCTAATTTTAATTGTGACAGATTACATGTGATTGAGTTTACCCTCTTAGTAGTTTAAAGACCTGTCTACCTCCCTATTTATTCATGTCGCCAGGACATTTGTCCCAGCCCTGTTTAGGTGGAGTCCATTCCTTTGGAATAGCTCCTGTCTCCCCCAATACTGGTGCCAGTGGCCCATAATTGAATGGGCACCACTCTTTTAGCCAGGTATTCAGATCTTTAATTTTTTTTTGCCTGTATCAATTTGCCCCTGGCTCAGGTAGTAATCCTGATATTAATACCTTCAAAGTTCTACTCTTTAGCTTAACTCCCAATTCCTGGAACTTGCTCCTCAACTCGTCCCTACCGGTCCTACCTTCATCATTAGTCCCTATGTGAATCATAACTATTGGATCCACTCCCTCCTGCTTCAAATTTTTCTCCAGCCCAGAAGTGACGTCCTTCACCCTGGCCCCAGGAAGGCAACAGAGTCTTCTTGTCTCCCTGCTACGGCTGCAGAAAAGTGCGTCAGTCTTCCTGACTGTCTCATCCCCAATTACCACTATATTCCTTCTGACTATTCCCCTTTGTGTGGCCTCCTGTATAGAGGTGTTGGGGTAAGTTTGCCCATCTTCCTCACAGACTTCCTTGTCCACACAGGCTGCAAGTATTTCATACCTGTCGGACAAGGTTAAAACCTGGGGTTCCTCTGCCCCTCTCTTTCGGGTCCCCTTACCCGCCTGTCTGACCGTCACCCAGTCCTGTCCGTGGCTGGTAACGGAATGTTCCCTGGGACTCGGGGGAGTGTCTGGCTCCAGGATGATACTGTCCAGGAAGCTCTCCCCATCTCTAATGCTGCACAGTGTCTCCACCTGAGACTCCAGCTCAGCTATTCTAAGCTGGAGCTTCCTCAGTTGCAAACATTTGCTGCAGATGAAGTCGCCCGGGCTCAGGTTGCCCTCCATCAACTCCCACATACCACATTCCTCACACGTCACCTGCCATGTCATTCTCTCCTCTCACTCTCTTTATCCCTATATTATTGTCGTTAGAAGATATACTACAATGGAATCTTGTTGTTGTTGTTGTTGTTACACCTACTTTCTCTTCTGCACCTAATTCCCACTCTCACCAAATTCCTTCTCACTCTGGCCTCGCCTCACTCTGGGCTCCCTGCAAGTGGCATGCTTATGTAGGAAGCTAGCTAGTATGTGCCAAAAGGCAGAAGTGCATCACACTTCTTGTAACTGTGGTCACAGCCAGGCGGGAGGTGATTCTGCAAAGATTCTGCGTACATGAAATGGTGGCCCAAACCTATATGGGATGAGGCTGGTGATTTCTTGTTTGAAAATGATTCTTTATTTTATTTTTCAGGACCATCTCTCTGAGCCTCGCTCCCCTCCAAACGGCGACAATGTAGACACTGGAATGGTCCTGGTCAACCCATTTTGCCAAGAAACGCTTTTCTCTGCAAATGAAAGAGTTTCCGAGTTGTAGTCGTGTGAAGGAGGCCAGGAGTGGAGCTAGGTTTATTCCACTGTACAAAGTTCAATACTTTCATGTAATCCTTCGTCGGGAGGTTGTTCCAGTCAGAAACCTTCTTTCCCCCAAATTGCAATTCCTTTTTATATGTGTGAAGAAAAGTTTACAAGACTTTGCTTTATAAAATAAAAGTATTTCTAAACAGACAAACTATTTAACTAACTGGTCTATTGGTCTTTTTTATGTGATTTCCTGGTTTTCAGAGGTGTGTTTTTTCACTGGTGTAATATTTTTATTATTTGTTTAAAACACTGTGTCATTTTAAGCAGCCTGTAATTTAAACTGTAGTGGTACTGGTACCTTAGGCCAGAACAGTAAATGTGTCTGTGCACAGTTCTACCAAACTGAAATTAAAATTACTGAGAAATGTCAAGATTTTCTTTGGTTGAGTCCTGGCAACACGTTTTATGCACTTCTAAGTTCAACTGCACATCTGTCCCATGGGCATCAGGGATCCTGCTGTGACTGTAAAGCCTGACGTGCGGAACAGCATCTAGGCGTTAAATGTTATTCATCTGCCTTGTGAATCATGTCCGGTAAAACAGTAGGATTGAACAGGTTGTCTCTTGACATTTACTTACCCTACTTGGCAACTAATTTACACAACATGGAGGGGTCCCACTTAGATCTTAGACTTCCTGGAGGTTCCAAAATTCTCTTTCAATTTGACCACTAAGGGTTACTTCTATCATCATCTGTAAAAAATGTCCAAAGCAGATATGCAAACGCTAGCATTTGCTACAGATTTAATCACGCAGGGCTTCCAGAAGTTTGCACATGGGTAACATCTGACAGGTTCCATTGTCCCCGGTTTGAACAGAAACCGGACAGTGGGCAAATCCACACAAAATCCAATCAGAACATTCTTACATTGTAATTGGAGCGACCAGGAAAATACTTTGGCTGCTTTTCACCAAGCTAGTCCATGCACAAAACAAAGAGGGCAGAGAGGAGAACAAGCTATCCTTTGACTGAATAACTCATGATGGGTCTAATATTATCTGCATAGTTCCTAGGCAGTACAATACACAGGTAAAATTAGCCACCAAACTAGCCGTGTTGTTCAGAAAAACCCTTATGGTTGAATGCTGGAGGCACTGCTGTAGAATAGGTGTTCTGCAGATGGCTCATTGCTGGTGCCATTAAAGCCAATGGAATGGATAAGGATGGCCTAAACTGTGCTGGTGAGAGAGTAGCAGCTGGGGAAAAGAACTCTGTGATTAGTGCTTCGTAAGTCTAGTAAGAATTTATAATATTTGCACGACATCTGTATGTGTGCAAAATTTATACAAAATATTCGCTTAAGGAAAATTTAAAATCTTTTTCAACAATAAATACTTAAAGCCAACAATTGTAATATTCAAGATTTTTTTAGATTATCTGTACAAAAAGAGGGCAGATTGGTGGCGTTTTGAAACATCCATAATAATAAATAGGAAATATCATCCTTGCATTTCATAGGAAGCGGTCAGCAGGCATCATTATAAGACTTTTGGGAATTCTCATGAACAGTGAGATGAACAGAAGCTTGAAGAGACAAAATAACATTATTGTTTAAATTAGGATAGACTTTGGGAACAATTGACGAGGTTTCCTGGCTAAAAGGAACTCTACACAGATGATGATCCACATATAAACAGATGGAGAGCTAAATTATTGGCACAAAAAAATCATACATTACCATTTACATTTATATAGCGCGTTCACGTTAGGGCGATGGGGTCTTTATCTGAACAAATCTTGTGACATTGTAAACAGTAGTCCATACAACCCAAGCCTGTTTCACCATTAACACTGGCATTAACACTAGGGCAAGTCTATAATTTAAATTATTTGTCTTTTCACCATATATATCCCTTAATACTCTCACTTACCAAATATTTAGCTCTATCTCACAAAACTTGGGATACTAATCAATTAGTGATTAATGATAAAGCCAATAACTTCAATTCGGTTGAAT